CACTCGACAACTCGACACTCGACAACTCGACACTCGACAACTCGACACTCGACAACTCGACACTCGACAACTCGACACTCGACAACTCGACACTCGACAACTCGACCTCGACAACTCGACACTCGACACTCGACACTCTGGCAGCCCTGGCACGCCACCACACACTCTACGATTGCAATTCGGTTTATCCTTAGTTGATCGTGCAGTAGGCAGAGAGACAGAGACACTCAAATCTATTAGCTTCTCATCTCAGTTCATCTTCAATCTCGTCTCCAGCCACAAAAGTCTTCAAGTCTCCATCAGAATTGTGCAGACACTTTTGAGAGGCCCCGGCCTCAATGCCAACCAAGCCTTGCTTTTGAACTTTTACACCGCGTCCATGATCCAATGACTTTCTGACAACCTCCCTCCCCTTCTTTCATCCTCTAGTTACGACCCTGGTGAGTGCCTCGACCACCTTCGGCCCTCTTGATCTCCTCCAGAATCAGATCGCGAGCCGACTCCACACCCTCCTTCTTGCCAACAATGGTAATGGCGTCGCCTTCTCCTTTGCTGGAGTTCTTGTTCGGCACCTGAATCTCACAGCCCGACGCTTTGCGAATGGCGTTGATGGTGTGGCCGCCCTGTCCGATAATGTGGCGATGCAATCGAGGGTCGGGCAGGACCAGATATCCCGTGTGTTGAGGCTCTCGTGCTTTTTCAATCAACGATTGAATTTTTTGCTTGGCTTTCGCCACCGTTTCCTCGGAAGCATCTTTGCCGGCCAAAATCACCCAAGGAATCTCTCCCTCCTCCTCCGAAGCGTCTTGGTTGGACACAATATCCCAAGAATACTTCTCCTCACCAGGCTGGTCAGTGATCAAGGGCAAGTCGCCATGGGCGGGTGGTGCCCGAGGCCCGCGATGGCCATCTTTGGACTTTGGCGGCGGCTTCTGTCCGTTATGGTCAATGCGAATATTGTCTCTTGAAAGTTCGCGGAAAAGAGCGCCATTTCTCGAAATAATATTGTGCAAAGACCGCGGCACATTGATCGTCTCGCCTTGGGGTCGGATGGTGATCTTTTGGATATGTTCCTTGGCCTTTTGAACGTTCTCGGGTCGGCCAGCAATCTTGACCCCTGTCTCACCACTTCCTTGACGGGGCACGTTCAGGGTCACCCCAAAGTCCCCTTCCAGCTTCTTCCGGGTACTTCCATTGGGTCCGACTAATTCTCGGTGCTGGGTGACCGGGACATCCACTATCTCCGTGATCTGGTTTTCTCTTTCCTCCACAAAGTTTTCAAGTGCGGCCACGATCTTGTCCACAACATCGGCAGTGCCCTTGACTACCAGAGTGTCTGACTCGTCGCCATGACGAGGGAAACGGACATGTTCTGCGCTGGTGCCAGTGCCACCTGCTTTGGCCACGATACTTTGGATGTTCGCACCTACGGAGAGTCAGCCTCGAGTCATACCATGATATGACAACACCGATACTTACCACCAGTCCCGATCAGAGCGCGGTGATGTTTCCTGTCGATGTTCAGATTGCGTGTGACAATGTTGTCAAAGGCCTTGGATCGCTTTTGCAGCTCCTGTCTCGCCTTTTCAACCTGCTGCTTGGTGCCTTTGACCAGGATGGTGACGCGATCGGAGCCATCAGGTTTGGGAATGTCAATCTGAGCGCCGGTCTCGGCTCTCAACTTTTCCATCTCCTGGCCACGTTTGCCGATGAGTGAGGCAATTTGCTCCTGCGCAACCGACACAGTTGCCGTATGCGAGTTGTCGACCAGGTACTGGTATAAACTCAGCAGCTCGTCCCGCACCTTTTCGGCCTTCGCGCGTGGTCCTCGAATTCTGATTTCATCGTGCGGGAGACCTTTGCTACCACCAACGTCGCTGGCATTGTCCGCAACGGAAGCGTCGTCGCTGACTCGAGACGTCTTGGGAAAGTCGATTCGCACTGCGTTATCCACCTTGTTTTGGATCTTTTGGAGATTCTCTCCACTGCGGCCCACCAGCATGCCGTGATACTTGGGATCGATCTTGATGGCGAAACTGACCTCGTCTTCCCACTGTTTGGCCAATCGCTGGATCTCGGCCTTGCAAGCTTCAGCCTTTTTCTGCGGCCCTTGGATGGTGACCTTGCCCGGCTCTCGAGTGTCGATCTCGACATCGTGCTTCTCACGAAGAGCGATGATGTTCGCGCCCTGTTTTCCGATCAAGTTCTTGTTAAATTGAGCGGGGAATGCAAATGTCGTGGTATAACCGCGTTCCTTCTCGTCCTGCTCGACTTCCTTCAGGTAAGATTCAATCTTGCCACGCAGTTCTGCAATGTCCGCCTCGCTGGGCCCTCTCAAGTAAACTCTCTCGGACGGCGAGCCCCGGGAGAGGCCGTTGGCTTGATGCTGTCCTCTAGGGGCGCCAAAGTCGACTTGCACAGGGAAAGCTTCGGGGGGAGAAGGTCTGGGTTCGTTTTTCACAAATTTCCGGACCTTGTCCTGGAACTTTTTGGGCACGTGGATGTCCTGGACGGATATTCCTTGATGTGGAATGTTGCTTAGCAGTTGCGCTTGAGCTTCCTGTAAAGCTTTCTCGAAGTTGGCAATGTCGCCTTTGGTGGGTTTTGCTCGCGGGATCGAAAATGGTCCGCTTTGCGAAGGACCTTCATAAACGAGGATAACTGGATCAGAGCCGTCTTTGGGTACGATCATGTGAACCCCCAGGTTCTCCTTCAACCGCGATCCGTGCATCTTTTCGAGATGGGGATGGAAGAAGGGATCAACCTCCACAAGTTGCAGTCTGGGCGTGGGGTACGCTTGGGCAATCTTGGACAGCTCATTGCGCGCCGAAAGCGCCTTCTGAGGGTCACTGCTAATGACACTCCAGCTTGAGGAAGCATTCGAACTCTGAGGAAAAACGACTTCGGCGCCGTGCGAGTTCATAAAGTCCCGCTCGATAGCCTTCTGCTGCAAGTATTGAGCGAGTGCCCTGGAATGGCGCTCGGGGCCCTGTGGAGCGTCATGGAAGTGCTTGTGCATATCGACCGCTCGGTTGTGCTTTCGAGACATGAGCTCCTCAGCCAGGTTTCGGCCAGCACTGAGCTTGTCCTTCGGCCCGATGATGTGTATCTCCTCGGTTTCTTCGTTGGCAGGAGGAAGAATGACCACACAGCCGGTCTCTTCCAAGAACTTTAGAGGATCCATACCACGATCACCTACAATGTAAGGATGGAGAATCTGTTCGGCGGCCACTTCTTCGAGCAAAAGCTTTTTCTGGAGCTCGCCAGCCAGCTGCTCGAGCAAAGTACGGGCTTCCAACGCCGCGGCTTGTTCACCGGAAATCACAATATGGCTGTCCCCGTGGGGCACAAACAAAGCAGGTCGGTCGTCCTCGGCAGGTCGGGGTGGTGGTTGTTGTTGCCACGTGTGGTACTGGGGCACGTTGATACGGAGATCGCGATCCTGTTCCAATTGTCGGAGACGGTCCGCATATTGCCCAGCAATGAACGGATAGAATTCTGGGGGTATATCACGGACAGGAAGATCGACCTTTGGCTGAAGCGCTTTAACCTGGTTGGAGATTTGCTCGTAAACTTGTCGAACTTGAGCTGCATTGCCGCGGATCTCAACGACATCGGTTCTCACTTCTTCGGCATTTGTTGCTGGTCTGGTATCTCGGTCGATCCGGATCCTCACATTAAACTGGGTTTCGAGCTTCTTGATGTTCGCGCCGCCCTTGCCGATGATCTGCGCCGACACGGTGGAGGGTATCTCGAGTTTGACTTGTTTCTCCAGCGTCAGTTCTTTCGACACGTACATCAACGCCTCGGTGACACGGGCTTTGGGACCTTCCGCAATGAATTCTGTCCGGGTTGCGAAGTTGGTCGGCTTGGGCGTGACAATGACATTAAACTTCTTCTTGACATCGTCCAGGATTCTCTTCACAGGCTTGTTCCTGTCCAGGTCGGCGTTGTCAATTTCGAACGAGTCGCGATATCTTCCGGGTAGCAGCACATTGCCACGAGCGCCGGCAGCGGTGGTGACCGGGGTCCTGGCTCCTGGGGCCGAGGTGGGGGTGCCAGCGCCGGACGAAGTTGGTCGGGGCCCAACAGCTGGTGTGCCGTTTGTGGGAGGAGCTTTGGCAGAGGCACTTGCAACCCAGCCGGAGGAAAAGACGGGTGGTTTGGATGCAGCTCCCAAGGCGGGGAACGCCTCGTCGGACTGCGTGTCGAGAACGCTGGGCTTGTCAGAGGCTTTCTGCTTGCCTGCAGCCTTCTCCGACAAGGGAGGCTCGGTTGTGCCGTTCGAGGTGACTGTGGTATCTTTCGTCTCTTCAACATGTTGATGCGGAGGAGGAGGATGCTCAATATCATCTTCGTCCGGGACTTCTTCAACTGTAACCCGATGCACCTCCGCAGCCTCATGCTGTTCTTTCATCAACTGAGCGGGAGTCTTGGCTGTGCTCGAGCTGCCATCCGCAGCAGGAGTAGCTGTGATGGTGGCCATGATCGTGGTGGCTTCAAGGAAGCCTCGAGGAAACCGGTAGAGTGAAACCGTGCGAAGGGGACGAGGACCGAGGGGTGAAGAGAGGTCAGGGTGCGAGGATCATGAACCTGGGGAAGGGCTGTCAGGGAGATGGAGCAATCACGAAACCTGTCGCTGCGGCTTGCAGTGCCAGAGCTTTGAAGGCAGGGTGACAGAGTGACGGGGTGACACGGTGGTGCTATGGGGGAAGAAGCGAAGGTGCATGCTTGGGATTCTTTGTGGAGAGACTCCCGGACTAGTTGCCAGTTGCTAGTACGGAGTAGAGGCGACTAGAAGGTTGTGCTTCGGAACGGAAAATCATTAAGCCGGGCCGATCCAACCTCAGCTCCGACACAATACAGAGTACACTGTACAGAGGACCTCACAGAGGACCTCAGGAAGAGTACGCCCAGGAAGAGTGATACCTCAGGAGTCTTTGTCCTACCTGGTGCCTGCTACACATATCCATTCACCTCTCGCGTCAACCACAGCCTACAGGGGGGCCTAAGCCTTGTGATCGCGCTTGACGAGTCCAACCTTGACTCCTTCAGCAGGGGTGAGAATGATGTCCGCATGCAGAATGCGCCGGCTTCCATAGTCGATGATCTGGTCAAACTCTTGCAGAATCCGTACCACCGTGTATGCCATCTCCACCATGGCGAACTGCTGTCCAATGCAAATTCTCGGACCCCCATTGAAGGGGATGAAGTTCCAGGCCTTGGGTGTCCACGTTGCCCACCGATCTGGCACCCAGTCGTGAGGGTCGTACGGGAAGGACTCGGAGATGGGCGGATAGAGATCCCTCCGACGCTGCATTGTGAGTGTGCTATATGCAATGCCTGTGCCTTTGGTGCACCCCACCGGACTCATGCCATCTGGGCCTGCGCCGTGTGGGAGAGTGGTATCCACCAGTGCAGCCCGGACGTTGAAAGGCACTACAGGATACAGCCGCAGTGTCTCGTTGATGGTGTAAGTCAGATACTTCATCTCCTTGATCTCTTGGTAGGTTGGTGGCCGGTCATCCTGCCCTAAGAATTCGAATATCTCTGCACGGAGCCTCTCGACCACTCGCGGGTTTTTGGCCAGCTCGAGGAAGAGCCAGGACAACGTCCCAGCGGTCGTATCTCTGCCAGCCAGAAGCAGTGCCACCAGTTGATCCCGGACGACTTTGCGATCTCGGGTGTGGCGGGCGAGGGCGTGAATAAAGGTGTCAGACCGAGACAGCCTAGATTCCAGCTCTTCAGGAGACATTGACAAGGCCTCGGTGATGTATGGCTCGATAAATTGTTCCATGGTTCTCAGTCCTGCATCGAAGGACCGGTTGGAGTGGAAGTGTCTGAATGGTCTAAAGAGATGTGAGCCATAATCTGCGTGCTGAATGGAGGGACCCACCCCAAGCGGCCCCTTAACGACTGAACCCTCTGTACCTCGTCAAAGGCGGTTGCAAACTCCGACTGCTCTTTGTCCAAGCTGCCGACACTGTGTCCAAACAGAAAATGAGTCGATGCATCGAGGCTGAAACGAAAGAGGAGCTTGTTCAACATGACCGGCTGCCCATCGCCCGGGCCCATCAGAGAAATCAGCCTGCGGACGTGTGTTTCGATCAAAGGCAAATCGGAAACCCGTTCCCGGACAAACATAGGCCTGATGAGCTGACGCGAATTGTGCCACAGTGGCCCATCGGTGGTGAAGATGCTGTCTCCAAGGAAAGCTTTCCACTGCTCATGGAATTCTTCGCCTGTCCATTGCTCGCCAAGATCAGTCGTATACAGATATTGAGACCACAGAGCAACTTGAAAGATCACAGAGAAACTGACCTTTGCCAAAATCCTGGAATTGGGTGGTCAGGATCGCCTTGATGTTCTCCGGATCCGCCGTGAAGATGGCGCGAGAATTGGCCAACATATGCAACTCGGAAGTATATGAGCCCGTTCCATTGTGTGCGGTTCCGGTATGTTCGTAGATCCATTCCCAGAATTCCAGGCTCTGATTTCTCAAGATGGCGAGTGTCGAGTGCACTGGAAAGTCAAGCCCTGTCCACCCGCAATCAATATCAGTACCGACCACGAGCCAGACCGCAACTAGTAGCCAACTAACCAAAGATAAAACTGGTCGTGACCCTAGGACTCTCGCCGCCAAGTTGGAGGATGGCTTGTCGCTTGCTGTATCTCCTGACATACACAGAGGCAACATATGCCAGATACAGGAATACAACCAGATACTGCCAGGATAGAAAGTGCTGGATCATCTTGATCTTGAGCAATACCTCATCGAAATCAGGTGCAGTTGCGATCAGCCCAAGAAGCAAAAGAACCTCATCCAAGGACGTAGAGAACAGTTATCCTTGTATCAGTATCTGGGAAGGATGGTGTGAAGTCTGGAGTATTAGGGAACTCTGGTGCCTACGGCCGGGCGAACCGTCATTCGTACTTCGTATTTGCCGAATACGATATACGACCGAAGCAGACCGGGCACTCCATCGCACGTATCCGCATCACCTGAGTGGTAGGAGTTAGTCCCACAGATCTCGCAAGGTAGGGCCGCTCCTGGTTACCGCAGCATGGTGAGTCTCGACCGTCATCTACGGAATACGGAGTATCCGTACTCTGCATGTAATCACCGGTATCCGTGCCCCCTGAGAACTTCTAGGTAGTTTGCTGACTTAAACTTAGTAGAATGGTTGGACATTGAATATGCAAGTCCCCCGTATCTACTCTGTATATTGCTTTTGGCCATCACGCGTCTCGGTCAATGCATGCTGGTCACTGCAAATTGCCGTTACAGATTGCACCCACCCTCCATGAGACACCAAGTCATATGGACCGGCGACATGGCTGTGTGGTGATCCGTAACCTCGCGCTCTCTCCATTCGCCTAGCCTCCGGGATGCGTCCTCGAGCATCGTTTCGTGCCTGACACCTGTCCAGAGCACCTCGGCAGCCGCCGCCACCCGAGGCCATAACTTGAAGTCAAGGTCAATCGAATCAGTCTGCTCACTCCACATCAAAACTTCACCGCCTTCGATGTTATCAATCAGATCGGCGCTGATATTTGCCAAAGGATCATAGGTATATATATGACGCCAGTTGTGGAAAGGGTTGCAATAATCAAGATAAGGCTTCTTTAATTTGCTCGGATACCCTCCCGATGTATTGTATGGTACACCAACGGGTGACTTCCCGGAAGGATATGGCTCGAGGAAGACACCGAAGCCACCTGAAAACACTTGAGAAGGACTCCAGACCCAATGGGGATATACTCACAATCAAGGTACCAATGATGGTAGTCTCCAAATATGACTCGATGGCCCTTCTTCAGTACATCTTTGATTCGTTCACTGTTGCGCCAGACTTGGACCAGAGTGCTCACCTTTCGGTTATCATTTGTGACTGAAGGCAGAGTCAGATTCCAGTCCAACAGCATTTCTTCCCAGACGACCGGCTGAAAGCCGTGCTGGAGGGCAATGCCAATGACATGATCGATGAATTTCTGCAGCAAAGGCCGCAGGACTTGGGGTTCGTCGCTGGCCACTGTCTCGTCTAGAAGGTAGGCTGCAAGGTTTACCTCATCGCCACCAATATGGTATAACGAAGTGTATGGACGTGTTCGAGGCAAAAGGTCTTCAAGGAGGGTAGTGACAAAAGTCAATACGGCAGTGGAATTGAGCTTCAGTTGTCCGCTTAAAGGCTCCGCAGCAAACGTTGACCAGTCTAATCTGTTGTAGGCGGCTATCAAGTCGGGATATGCATTAGCGACAGAAGCTGTGTGACCTGGCATATCAATCTCAACAAACACTGATACTCCCCGTGAGGCGCCATGAATCTGGATCGCCTCAAGACTATCAGCACTCCATACCAGGTGGGGCTGGTAGGCGCCCTTTGTCGCCAGGTCCGGAAGCGACGGGATTTCAAGTGGCCAACTTTGTGAATCGGTGGCGTGGATATGTAGTCGGTTCATCTTTGTCCTTGCCATGGCATCGATCGTGCGCGTCAAGTCTGAAGGACGGAACGGATTTCGAGCTATGTCAACACTCAAGCCTCGGTGACGCCACTTTGGTCTATCAACAATTCTTGCCGGCGTTCCTAGCATGTACGATCCGGAATGGGTCGAGTGTGCATAGAAGAACTGCTGAAAGGTCTGCAGCGCCCACAGCGCGCCAATTGTGCTATTAGTCTGAATGGTCGCTGTTGCGTTGTCGATCATAATTTCATAGGACTCGTCGCCGGCAAAGAAAGCCAGTGGATCAAAGGCTCCAACATCTGGGCAATGACTCTGCTGTATCTGAAGACTGGATAGGTAATGTCGTTGAGCCATCACATCGGGTTCGAAAGGTGAGTGCCGTTTATGGAGCTTCCAAGGGACAAAGTTGGTATTATGCATCGATTTAATGGTCTCATGGACCGCCGCCTGCGCAATCGAAGTTTCTGTGATGGCCTTCTTGCTACCGTGGAAGTCATGGTTCCCAGCAAAGGCTTGAAACTCGTCCCAAACGGTTTGAGCGAACTGGTAGGCGCTGTTGACGAAACCTAGGACAGGCAACTTTCCGAGATCAGGAGGATAGTCAAACAAGACAACATCTCCTCCATTGCAGCGGAAGGTGGCCGTGAGTGCAGGATCTAGCCACAACACGCCGGAGCCGGTGGAAACCTCGGCCGGCTGGGGCCATAGGGCCATCACATTTGTGATGTAGGTGAGGAGTGCGACGTATGTGTGAGAAAGCATGGCCGATGACAAGCCAAGCATGAGACAGACTCGGGTACTAAATAGCTGACGGAAGCTTCATCAAGCTATACACTTAACGAACAGTTTGGACCAGGAGCGTGACCTCGAGCATGTATGCTGAAGGGCGTTGCAGTAGCATTTCGACTTGCAAGCAAGCCGGTCGAGGCCAGATGCCTGGACACAGCAATGGCTTTAGAGTGCCCGGTGTGGAAGAGGGCGTTTCGGCTATGCTGCTAAGTGGGCCGAGGTGTTTATGTGTACTCTGTAGAAGAGGGATGATATAGGTACCTAGTATGCCTTAGGTAGCCGTGTCTTTCGGTCGGCGTGGATGATAACGACCTTAATATACGAACGACCCGAATAGGCATGGTGGGAATACTGGCTTCACGTGACACCTTAAGTCACGTGCTTACATGACTAATGGCGATGTGGCAGAATCCCGCCACCCAACCTGCCGCTTTTGCAGCGTGATGCCAGTTACACTGCAAATAATCTGGCCCGGCGGGTGCAGTCTGCAGTCTCCAGTCTCCAGCGATTTTGCTCCATTACTACTCCCGTACAGACAGCCAGCTTCTTCTATCCTACTACATCCATCGCAACTCAGTAGCGCGCTTCATTCACCCCCCGAAAGGCCCTCGTGGACATCTCAATCCCCCCGTCCGACACCCTCAGACTCGAGCAGGGCCATCAGCCGTTCTCTCTCATTGTGTCCGCAAACGAACACGACGCGCGACTGTCGATTCTTCTCCGTCTGCGAGGCGAATCCTGCCTCGCCGCCCTCCTTCGTTCCCCCATTTAGCGGTCGTATCGATCATGTCGACCATCGCTCTCGAGACGCCCCTGGCCGAGACCCTCAGCAATGCAGTGCACTCGAAAATTGTCGAAGAAGGTTGGACCCAAGAGGATGATACCTCGTTAGCCGAGTACATCGTGCTCATGCTTGCAAATGGCAAGACTCAAGACCAGATCGCGTCAGAGCTTGCGGGCGAGTTACTCCAAGATGCGAAGGGCACGACAGAGTTTGCACAGTGGCTGTTCGACCAGGTCAATATCCTTTCCACTGGTGCGACATCCTCGGTCCCTGCAGAAACATCACAGTTGTCGGGCCAAACGGGTCAGGCTCTGGCGTCAGAACCGGCGTCTGGCAACTCGACCGAAAACGGAAACTCTGCCATCCCCGCGGCTTACGACCAGGATATGGCTGATAATGCCCCCGAAAATGCGTATGTCCATAGCCCCCAGCGATGTCCGATCTAACTTGCTGACAATTCCATAGACCTCGAGGACCAAAAGGTTTGCACGGGGGTAGGCCATCCGGCAGAGGCGGACGAGGCGGCGGAAACAACAAGACCGGCGAATCAGCGCTACATCGAGTCCGCGGCAACGACCGCATCAACACACATTCAAATACACACGCACGCGGCACACCCAAAGGACCCCGCAACGTGCAGAACCGTGATCTGCGTCCTGGCATGCAGAAAGCCTTGAACAACATGCCCATGTCGGGCCCTCACCAAGGAATGCAGAATCCGATGATGATGAATGGTGGGCAACCGGGCCAACCCATGATGCAGATGAGCCCACAACAACAATTGGAGTTTATGGCGATGATGGAACAACAGACTCGAATGCTGGCGCAAATGACGGGCATGATGCCCGGTGCAGGCAACTCCTTCCAACCGGGCGGGATTCAACAGAACGGCCAAGGTCGGTCATTGTTTGATAGGGTGGAGCCAGGCCGCGGTCGTGGAGGCATTCGAGGGCGCGGACGTGGCGGCAGCCATCAAAACGGGCACATCAAGGGTGCAGCCAAATCAAACGAGCAAGAGGCTGCGACGGAAGGCGACGGACAGAGCTCTGAAGTCGGAGCGTCCGCTATGGAGGTCGAGCAGCCTGGTCTTGGAGAACGAAAGCCTCAAGACCCGGCGAACACCATGTGCCACTTCAACCTGCGGTGCACGAACAAAGACTGCCCCTACGTCCATCAATCGCCTGCAGCACCCGAAGGTACAGTGGTCGACATGGCCGATACATGCAGCTTCGGGGCGGCGTGCAAGAATGTCAAGTGTGTGGGGAAGCATCCATCACCGGGCCAGGTCAGGGCGTTTCAGGCCCAAGAGCTCTGCAAATTCTTCCCCAACTGCACGAAACCGAATTGTCCGTTCAAGCACCCGACCATGCCGGTGTGCCGGTTTGGAGCCAACTGCAAGACGCCGAACTGTCAATTCACCCATCTCCAGACTCCGTGCCGCTACAACCCGTGCACGAATCTACGATGTCCTTACAAGCATGAGGCGGGCCAGCAGAAGGTCAACAACTTTTCGGATTATTCGTGGACGCCTGATAAGCAAGCCGATCCAAATGCCGGCAAAGAGCATGTTAGTGACCGCAGATTTGTCGACGAGCAGGCCGGGGAGGAGGAGCTGATTAAGCCGGAAGGTGGCGGCGCCGACGTCGACACGACTGGCAATACGAACATGACACAGGAGGTGATTACCTGATATGGACCATGGCCACAGGCGGAAAGGAAATTCAGGGTTGGCGGCACGGAAAGTGCGCGTCCGAGTGCAAGATGATGGGACGGCCACCGTAGGAAATTGTACATTACGTGGGAATGACAAAGGGAGCTCTGAGGGGGATCTGAGGCTGGCTCAGACTTCAGACTGTGAGTATGGACTAGCTATAGCCATGAGGCTCGTTGATGTGACGGCGACTGCCGTGCTGTCTGAAGGTCCCACGGGCATTGAATCAGCAAAGGGTCTTTCTTGGAGCGAATGGCCATAATGAATAAATAGGTTGGATGCGTTGTGTGTGTGTATGTGTATGTCCATTCCCATTTTCGACTGTCGAGGTCCATGTAAGATGCATGCGTTCGTACTGTACTACCTCAGGTACTTAGTAGTGTATCCCATGGTCCATGTATCCGTACCAGATACTAACTGTTCGTCTATGCATGCCGTACTATGTGTGCTGCAGTAGGGACGGGACGGGGGTATCATTTTCATTTTCATTTTCATTTTCATGTTCATGTTCATGTTCATCTTCATGTTCATCTTCATCTCAATGGCCACACTTCATCAGAATGGTCACACTTCATCAGAGTGTCTTGTGTGTGTCTGGTGTGTCCTACATAAGCCCAAGCTTGTCGTCGCCTCAACTATTTCCATGACCGTTTTAAAGCCAACCCAGTTGAACTCCCAACTAACTACCTTGCCCAAGGTACCTACCTACCCAACTCCCCACTACCTTGCCCTACGTACCTACGTACCTACCCACCTACCCATCTAGGTCGGTAGCCATCGCTTGAACGCTGTACACTAGACCGAAGCACTGGAAGCGCCGGGCCTCGAGGGGACGGGAGAGGAAAAGGAAGTAAGGACAGAAATGAGCAGGCAGGCCAGACTCAGACAGCTAGGACAGCCCATATGAGCGTATCAAGCCCAGCTCAGTAGGCACCTAGAGCACAAACGCCCTCAATAGACACCTAGAGCACAAACACCCTCATGTGCCCTCCAGCACTCGAGCAGGCCACACACCCTCTCGCCACAGCCATGCTTGCAGCGCACTTTGCCCCAGTATCCGCAGACAGTACAGAACCAGCGCGGAGGCCGCGCCAGGCCGGCATTGCTCCCTAGGCGCATCGACCGGTCCGGGTCGTCGAGCGGCTTCGCCCGCGCCGCCGTGTAGCTGAGCGGCGGCTCGGCCAGCAGAGCCAGCATGACGCGCTCCGAGGGCATTTTGGGCACGTCGCGCGTCCGTAGGAGCGGGTCGCGGTCTAATGCTGGGTCGTAGCTGGGCGTCGGCGTCGTCGTCGGCGTCGATTCCAACCCCTGTTCCTGTTCCTGTGGCTGGGACGATTGATCGTTTGCTGTCGTGGATTGCGACTCTGGTTGTTGCAATTGCAATTGTGGTTGTGTAGATGAGGGTGCTGGTGTTGATGCCGGAGCGTCCGACATGTCCACGTCGTTAGGTCGGACATTCTCATTCTCATTCTCATTCTCATTCTCATTCTCATTCTCATTCTCATTCTCACTCTTGACGCCTTTCGTCATCGTCGAGCCCGTTTGTTTCAGCGGTCCTGTGCGACGCGGTGTCGGGTTTTCCTTTTCCTTTTGCGTTTGCGTTTGCGTTTGCGTTTGCTTTTCCCTTTCCCTTTCCCTTTCCTTTTGTGTATGCGTTTGTCTTTGCGTTTCCTTTTGCGTTTGCTTGTTCTTTTCCTTCCCAGTCGCTGTCCCCGTCCCTAATCGTCTCGAGTCCGCCGTCTTTTGCACATGTCCATGCGCCCAGTGTGGTGGAGGGCCCATGACGGGCGCCACGATGCCAGCACTCCCGTAGACATTGACTCCAGCCTCCTCGTCGGCAAGATAGTGCTGGAATGTCCGGCTGTAGGCCAGGATGCGGCGGACATTCGGCGTTGCTTTTCCTTTTCGATCTTTCCCTACTCCCCCTCCCCCTCCTACTCGCCCGCCAGAGCCAGAATCTCTCTTGGGCACGGGAATGTTGGCTTCGCGATGGTTCTCTTTGGCCAGATCGTTCAGCCGCTGCTGTATGGCCTTCTCTTGCTTCGCCGACAACTTGTGCGCCGCTTGCGCTTGTGCTTGCGCGCTCGCCATCCCGTCTCGGCCTCGTTTGCGTGAGCCCAGTGCCACCGCAGGTATGGGCGCCGGCGCCGCCGTGTCGGGCACGTATAGCCAGCCATGAGATGGCCGCGCCGCTCCTGATGTGATCGGGAGCTCTTCGATCAGAGGCATTTTGCCGGCGGGATAGGGGAGGGATTCGTTCCGAGTACGACGTACTACGTGGTCACGGTCAAAGGAATCTGGGGAAAGTTGAGGCGTTGTAACTTGTACGGATACGGGATATACTCACATGGTAGGCTAAGGGGCACCTAGTAGGCACCTAGTCAGTGTTTAGTGTTTGCCGTCTGCTCGCCGCTTTTAAGTCCACTTGACCGCCGTGACCACCGTGACTCTGGTGTCCTCGCTTTATGCTGACCTTCTTCTTATTGTTACGCCGAAAGAAGAATTCTTGTCGAACTGGTCCGCTCTATGGAAAGTCCCATCATGCATCCATTCTAAAGAAGACGAACGCTAAATGAAACAATCACTATGTGCTTATCCCAGGTGGTGGCTAAGGCTGCGATCTCCGTCTCCAGGAATAGTACGTATCATGTTACGGGTGCTCCACCCTATCAACAGTAACGCGCCCGTCGAATGATTTTTCTGAATAAGGAGAAACCCTTGAAGCGGAAGAACGTGTAATGGGTACTAGGTAGTATCAACCTCGTCCTAGGACCTGCAGTACTACTCAGAACTAACTACCTACCCTTACATGTACGGATACTCAGTAGGTACAGTATATACTATCCGCCGTTGAAACGGCTCGCCTCGGCCACTAGTAAAGTAGCTGTCTACGTCACAAATACGCGACTCACAGCTGCTCCTCACACGCATCCGATGAAGCTCGAGAGACTCATGGGGCCCATGAACTTAGAGAAGAGTGCTTTGAATCCCCTCTCTTTGAATATCCTCTCCCAAGTAGAGCGTCGTACCTTCGCGTTGATACCAGGACGTACTGCTCCATAGGCATAGTGAGATGACGGCAAGAGGGACAACACCAGCACACTCGCCTCGAAAAGAGAGGGAGAGAGGGGCTTGAGTGACAGGGAAGACACAGGAAGTTTCTTTACTTTTACATAACGCTCCAACCTGGAAAAGGGACACCCGAGTATGTGCGTGCAGGGCCTGACCGTGCATCCGACCTAGAGAGGAGGGAAACCCCATCCCATCTCATGCATGCCCAAGCTATTCCCGAAACAAACCCTTCAGTCCATGTAAGCTTATTTTTTGATTTGAGACACTTTGTTTTCAAGCTCTGTTACGTAGGAATGGATTCGTTGCACTGCTGCTTGGAGGGCCTGCACCTGCGGTCAGCAATGGATTCTCCTCGGAACCCCATGGGCAAGCAAGGAGAGAGGCGAGACAATCTCGACCTGGTCCATGCCCAGATGCGACTCGCCGTGAGACTGGGCAAGAGAGGGCGCGTGGGTGACATACGTAGATATCTTCGGTCAAGAGCTCATTGGAGACCTTGTATTCTTCGAGGATGTAGTAGTAAACTGATGCTCCTGCTAGAGTCGAGCCGAGAAGGAAGCCGAACAGTCTGGTTCAAGCACGTATTAGCCCACGTTCCAACCCAAAGGAGCTCGTCCCATGTCATGCGCATCAGCTCCTGTCGAGAGCCAACCGCCTCTGCAAGTCCGGTCGGCATTGTGTACATGAGGGAGATAGCTCACCCTCCTCTGAAAGCTCCAATCGGCTTCTTCACAGGCGCCGCTGCAGCCTCTTGGAAGCGTCTGCTTGTCGTCTGGAACGATCTCGAAACCAAGGGAGGGGAGGATCGGAGTGTTCTGGCCGCGGAGGAGATGCGTGGGACGAGGAGGCGTGAAGCCATTGCTTTGGTGATGGATCGATCGATCGATGTTGCGTGGCAGTGGCAGTGGCAGTAGTTGAGCTCTATGAGAGCCTGAGGGTTCGGCGACGGTTTGCAGACCAAACTGGACAGTCGACAGTCGACGGAGACACTGGAATGCACTGCAGGTCGCGAGCAGTCGGGCAAATTCGTATTCAACGCGCACAATATTCCTAGGAGGGAGATTGGACTCGTGAGATGGTCGGCAGCAATAGGAATCGCTTCTCCACTCCGTGCCTCGGGGCAATTATGGTATGTGCAAGTGGTAAGTGGCAGCTGAGTGGCAGTGGCAGGACCGGGGGATCCGCGGGCTCTTTATAAGCGGCTAGCTCCTCGAGGCTTGTAGAGTATAGGCACCTAGGCACCTAACCACCTCCCCCTCCCAGCTAGCTAGTACGGAAGGACCTAAAATGCTTAGGGGCAGTCACAGTGCCTATGCCGTCATTACCTTATTAAGCCGCACTTCCAGCCAGAGCTGGACTTCTTGAATCCAGACATGGCTTGGCCTCCTGTGGCTGAGCTTCCCGTGGTCATGCGCAGTTGCAGTTGCAGTTGCAGTTGTAGTTGCATTTGTACGAGGGACTGCTACTCCTCCTACATGATTACAGTACCTACAGAGTGCCGTCATCGAGAGTGTGTACCTAGGTACCCTTTGCTCTGTAATCAATGGCTCATTCATGAGGTCTGATAACTATCTAAGCCACAGCCTTCAGTCAGACAGACAGCACACCACAGCCTATCCTTTCAATCCACGAATAAATCCGCCACAAGATCCTTTCGGCAGGCTTCAATGTCCACAGGTTGAAGGCTGTATGTGTCTTCAAAGGCGTGGATGCTCAACTGTCTGAAGAAGGGCATCAGAAGCGCCTGAGGGTCTTCAGTGGTCCGGGTCAATTCTGTACACAGCCATGGCTTCCTCGCCTCGTCCTCTGAGACCGTGGGCATCTCAATTTCCCTCGTTCCCTTGCCCACTATCTGATCAGCCATTGCCACCGACTCAATGTCATGAGGAGGGTACACAGCGTCGACGGTGTCGGTGATAAACAGCCATTCGTGCAACTGAAACTCCTCCGGCTTCAGGAGCAAAAGGAGATCTAACAGCTTGGCGCCCTGCAACTGCGAGTAGCTGGTAAAACGAGACCCCTCGCCCTGTTGTAGGCTTGTAAAGAGCTCACGAAGCTCCGCATCCACAATCGGCCAGATCGAGACCAAGTGGACGTGAGAGTAGGCCAGAATTATCGCCCGAAGCACCAGGTAAATGTCTCCGCGGGTACCTGACGAGGGCGAGGACGACACCGTAGCAGTCAAGAGTTCTTCCATTCTGAGCATTACCTGGCCGAAGTCCGACACGAATGCGTCCACATCAGCGGCAAGCAGGAGCAGTGCCACCCTCCTCAGGGTGAGTTGTGTGCGTCTGTCCGCCTCTGTGCGCGCTGCTGTGGCTCCAACGCCAAACATCAAGCCCGCGGTAGTGGGTGGCGTCAACCTGGAAAGAAGCTCGATCAGCAGACCCTTATCGGACAGCCAGACTTGTTTCAACAGTGGCATCCAGCCCATCTCAGCCAGCGGAGCAGGCGACTGGAAGAATTTGGCGTCGTTGTAGGCGTCCAGCACGTCCTTCTTCCATGTTTTGTTGCTCGGCTGCGATTTGGCCATGAGGTGGACCAGCTGCAGGATGTCAATGCTGACAGACTGTGGGAACTGTCGCGATCGCAGCGCCGGTCCCGTAATATGTAAGGCGATCCCAGACATGGTGGTGTTGAGCCTGTCGAGCTCTCCAAGGGCATTTCCGATGATCGGTAACGCCTCGCAGATGATGTGAATGGCATTTCCAGCCTGCAACGGGCTGTTCCGATGGCCTGTGGTCGTCTCGGATGGGCGTTGCGACGTCGTGTCAAGGCCAGCCGGTCGAATGGTGAAGATGGCAGTGAAAAGCCGGGCACAGAGGTCGCTCAAGTCTCGCCGCATCCTCAAAACCTCCCCAAAATTTGTGTTCTCCATCTTCTGACAGATGACTGCGACGAATTCCAGAAGCCGGAGCAGAATTTGACGATGGGGCATCGGGTTGGCGAGGACTTCCCGCAAGAAGGCCGTACAATCGGTCCAAATTTCTTCCAGCAGGTCGTCCTCCAGAGCCTTTGTGTAGGCTATCAGGAATGCCATGAGCTCAGGTGCACTTACATCAACCGACAAACTTGATTTTTGAGCCTGGTCAAGCGCGGCTGGATTGGTTCGGTTGTAGATAGCATTGAAGGTGGCTGGCATCATGAACTTGGGCCGCGCTCCGTCAAGGCTCTGCATCAGATTCAGGGTGACATCGAGCTCAGTACCTCGTCGGGCGGCATCAACCCACATGCCCATCAACGTTTCGAGGCATTCCTGCGGCTCGGCGTCGGTAAGGTGCTCCAGAATCCTTCGCGTCCTGGTGCGGAGTCGAGCGGATATATAGGCGAAAGACTTGGTGTCGGGCATCGCGTCAGATGATCTTTTCAACAATCTCCAAGCCCAGATCTCGCCACAGAGTTTGATAGTGTCCTGCATGCAAAGGATAACCGTGAGCCGGCTGTTGGCGATCGATCGCACCTGGGACATGTCTGTGGCATTGGAGCTCGCGGACTCGGGCCCAGCTGCCTGGTCTAGCAGATGTGTGTGCGCCCTGGCCAGAATGTATTCGAGGCCTGCAAGAAGATTCCCGAGGGACCGCTCTGGATTCTGCGCACTCGGCGAGGCATCTTCACCATTGATCTGGACTGTGGGCAATGGCTTCTCAAACAAAAGCTGCATCTGCTCAAAGTACGCCCTGATTCGTTGGCAAAGGCAGGCTGTTAGTTTCAGCATGTTTGCAAAAAGTGTCTGTGTAGTGTATAAGGGGATGGTGTTGCAAAGCACTGTGATCCACTTGTCAATGGTTGAGTCGATCGGCTTTGATGATATGCCTGTCATCAGCGTCGTCAAGAGATCATTTGGGGGAGGCCCAGCATTGGGCTTTGTGAAAGTCGTCCGCAAAGTGTCGAGGATGTCCTCCTGAAGCGAGCTATCATCAGCCACGCTGGTTAACCGTTGCATCAGCAGAGATACCAACGTATGGAGACTCCGAACATCGGTTTCCTCTATGACCATGCGCAGCATTGAAAGGACCATCTTGATCGATGCCTCGTCTTGCTCAGAGGAGACCTTCTCCACACACAGGTCAAGTATCATCTCGGAAAATCCGTCCGGCGCAAATATTTCGTGACGCTGCACATTGGATTGTCGGACAATGGTCAAGACTTTTTGTAGCCGGTGGAGACCCAAAATAGAGAGCTGAGGAGTCGAGGCACCGACAGATTCAACGTAAGCGATCCTGAATACTGGAATGATCGATGGCAGATTATTCAGCCACACTCGACGCGGATCATCCGACTGAGAAAGATCCAGGCCATCGATCACGCTCAGGACAGGCTGCCGTAGCAGAGCCCACGGCACTTCATCATCCTCGAAACGGACAGTCGTTGAGAACATCTCCACATTGATCTCTGGAAACCGAGTGTGTTGCCACAGCGTCGAAAAGCGTGCCATCTGTTCTGCCAGAACTGCTCGTGTTGAAGGCTCTCCACACATGAGTTCCATGATCTTGCTGTCCACCAGAAGTAAGTGTTGCGAGATAAGGCGATGTTTCCATATCTGTTCGACGGCCTCGACGTGGTATTGTGGCGTCCGAGGAGGAAGAACAGCCCAGAATTGGGAGACAAGCTCTGGTACGAGATTGAGCAAATGGCGTTCTGTGAGCGTCTCGCTGCCAGGGTCAAAAGCGTGAAGGGTGTCGACTATGACTGCAACCGTCCTCACCATCTCGTACCTCAAGCTCGTCTGTGAAGGCAAGTTACGCAGTATCGGATAAAGCTGGCTGCCAAAGTCAAGCTGACGCAATGTCTGCAACGTGCTGCTCCTGGATATAGCTCTGGCGAGAGCTTTTGCAGAGGGTCCGAGTAACTTCTGATGACTTGGCTTGTTTAAGCAGTCGAGAACGATGAGCGCAACGTTTCGGAGCAACAGTTGAGCTGCCCCTGCAGGAGAAATGATATCGATCAGAGCCTTCTTGACGTAGGAAGAGTTTTCATATAGGGCCTTGATCCTCGTCATCCAGCCGTCCTTGGGGATGTCATCTATTGTCTCGCTAGACGCCCCCACAGGTTGCGGTGGGAGCAGGGCGAACAGGCTTTCCAGCAGCTTTGTCAATTGTTCTGCTTCTGGGTTAGCCTCAGTCGAACTTGAACTTTTGTGCCCCAGGATCATTTCAGAGACCGCTAGGCACACCAGTGGCAGATGTATCGCTGTCATTTCATCTTCCTGTAGATTGAAGTTTGACATGATAAATTCGACCAGGCCCAACTCTCTCTGATCAAGAAGTTGAAATAGTTGACTAGTTAGCAACTGAGGCTCGATGGCATCGAAGAATACATTAGCGCTTCGGAAAACCTCGTCGAACGAGGCTTGCGACGGTGCTGTTGTCTGGTATCGCTGTAAATCTTGCATCGCCGGAATGAACAAGGCTTCGACAGGTAGCTTTCCGATGATCCAACGATCCATCAGTGAAAGCATTATACGGAAAGGACGGGCTCTGTCCACAGGTGATACAAACTCCTTTTGCAACATCTTTTCGACGCTGCGTATCACGGACTGTAGCCCATAATTCTCGAAATAGTTGCGTCTGCTAGATGCCGGGGCCACTTTGCCTTGGCCTGATGGGGACGTAGGCTCAACAGCTGATCCCGGTAACATGTCAGTCGAGCCCTCTCGTTTATCTTCCTTGCCAATGAACCATGTCCACAGGCGCCGGTTCAAGCTCATGTCCCTTCTTAAGACGACAAACATTGCAGAAGTGACCAGGACATCTAAATCATTCTTGGGAATATGGGTCTGGAGAATGGGAGCGCTGAGCGGGAGGTGAGAAACCAAAAGATCAAGAAATCCGCGCTGGACCAATGCCTGTTCATCTTGAAGCCCAGTCGCGAAACACCGTACAAGGAGACCCGGTTCGGGAGTCGTCACTGCTTTGGTGGCGTGCTCCAGGGTATCCGAAGCATTTGTGTCTTCCCCATTTTGAGCATGGCTCTGATTGATGCTTGGCCCCAATTTTGGAAGCTGTCGCGTCAAGTAAACAAGGGCGCCCGGCCGTCTACTCTTGCTCGTGATTGAGGCGAGGAACAGACTTTGCCAAAATAGTTCCTCGGAATCGTCCTCCGCAAAAATCTCTCTGAGATGATTGAAGGTCCCCAGTGTGCGGTCAAAATCCTCACTGTTTTCCTCCTCTATACCTGGAAGCAGAGACAGGACGATGGCCCTCAATGCGGGTCTCAAGATATGGCTTGGCAGCATCAAAATGTGTTCGTCGTAGAGAGAGAGGAACAAGGGCCTCGTGCTCAGCGAGGCAAAAGTGAGAGTGTGAGAGACGCCAGGGAGCCAGATAGGCAAGTCGCGGGACAAGCCGTCTTTACCAAGTAGAGTGAAGACTAGGTTGTAGACTTCCAAAGCTTTCTGATGCACCCCTGAAGGTAGGGATGGCTTTAAGCATAAGGCAAGGTACTTGGCCAAAGTAGACTTCAAAGGCACGTCGGCATTGGGAGGAGACGCCTGCAACGCCTTTGCAAGGCGGCTGAGGAAGGCGATGTAATCTGCCCATTCGTTGGTGGCATCAAATAGACCAAGGGCCCTCTCGACGCCCGCATGATAGCGGCGAATTGCCTTAGGATCAGCCGCCATGATCACTGAATCGCATGGCCGGCTGGGGAAGCGAGACGGCAGAGTTGTCGAGAATCAAGGCTCCATACTCCGTACTCTATCTGGGGTGTAAGATCCGAGGGTCGATACTAGTAAGTGACGAAGAGGTGGCTGGTGGCTACCGAATCAGGTTATGAGCTTGCATACCGAGCAGCCGGGAATATGCCATGTCCTTGTAGTGGCAGAGTCTGTAAGGGCCTTGCCTCTTCATCAGGGGTTCTTCGTGTCTGCGTGTCTTCGTGTCTGCTAAATCAGGGATGACATTGAAGACACGGTGGTTTGCCGCGAGGCTCAAATGAACAAATCAACAGCGCGACGCCTGCCAAGGGAAAATAACCCGTCTAGAGTCAGATCCATGCCGCCCTTAGCCACCGACCCATTAACCCCCAAACCCCCACGATAAGCATAAAGCGGCCAGATCTGTGCTGCTCCCAGCGCCAATCCGGCATCGAACTGCTTTCCACTACGGAGTACGGAATATGTGTTGGAAGTATTGCCATCATCTTCCAGGGCATGCCATATCTGATCGTCTGCCATTATGCATGGCATGAGCGATGAGACGTGTACCCAGAACAGTGCCTATGATGGAGGGTAATCCCCCACGGAACGCTGGACCGCATCGCATTTGTCCAGAGCTTCAGTGACCCAGTGACCCAGCACCCGTCCGCTCTGTTTTCCGAGTCAAGAAGATGGACGGTAACAATGCCAAAGCGAGTCCAAGTACTCCGCCATGGAGCGAAGAGGCGGAACGGCCGCCACTCCCACCCAGGCCAAGCGAGCTGAATTTGATGCAATTGACAACATCCACGAGCAATGCTTCCCGTCCTCCCACACGGGCAGGTCTTGTGTCAGGGGCCACGACCGCAGTATCCATGGCTGACGTCAATAGCTACAACAGGCCTGACGGATCCAAAGAGTTACGTGTAACGCCGTCTCGCGTCTCTTCGAGCCCCTCGATTCGAGCAGCCACGAGTAACAAGACCAGTGAAATTGGGGAAGACAACTCCAGCATCAGGAGCTACGCGCCGTTCGGCCGCTACATACAGGATACGGAGAGCATTTTTGACGGCGAGGTACAAGAAGACCAGGGGCTTTCTTCGTCGTTCAGCGATGGGATGTTTGAAGATGGCCCTGACAGCTTTGATGATGAAGAAGATGTCGACTTTGACAAGGAGTTTGACGATCCGGATGACAAGATTGTTGGTGAAGAGATGGCTCATAACGTCTGGAAATCCAAGCGGAAGCACTTCATCATTCTGTCTGCGGCGGGCAAACCCATCTACACCAGACACGGCTCGGATGCCGTGATCTCTGCTTATGTCGGCATCATTCAGACCATTATCTCGTCATACTTGGACTGGGACGATCAATTAAGGAGCTTCCGAGCCGGGGGAGTCTTGTTCGCCGTTCTTTCTCAGTCCAATTTATTCCTGGTCGGAATCACGAGCCTTCCAGAAAGTGAAGCTCAGCTCCGTGTTCAATTGGAAGCTTTGTACATGCAGATTTTGTCGACTCTGACCTTACCGACTTTGACGCATCTGTTCTCCGTGCGACCTTCAACAGACCTCAGACGTCCACTGGAGGGGACAGAAGTTTTGTTATCGTCGCTTGCAGATACATTCACGAGGGGTTCTCCTTCGACGTTGCTGTCTGCCCTCGAGTGCTTGAAGATTCGAAAGTCGCATCGGAACGTGATCAACACCACGATGATCAGAGCTCGAGTGGATGACCTACTCTATGGTCTTATTGTGGCAGGAGGAAGACTGGTCAGTGTCATTCGACCCAAGAAGCACTCTCTCCACCCCGGCGACCTCCAGTTGATCTTCAATATGATATTCGAAGCCGAAGGTATAAAAGCCGGTGGCGGAGACTCTTGGGTCCCGATCTGCCTACCAGGCTTTAACAACACTGGCTACCTCTACATGTACGTCAGCTTTCTCGACATGCGCGGCGATCAAGCGCGCGAAATGGCGGAAAACGAGCGCATCGCCAAGGAAGATTCGGTCGCCATCATTCTCCTGAGTGCCAACAAGGAGGGCTTCGAGGACCTCCACAGCATGAAGAACTATCTCGTGCATGAGTTTCGACGCAATCAAAGCTTGCGCATCATCCACGCGGCGGTTCAAGCCGGTCGGCCTGCGCCCACCGACATTATTGCCGGCACTGTTCTGCGACATTTCCTCTACAAATCCAAGGGCAATGTGCAGTTCTTCATGCCCTCGTACTCGCCGAATTTCGAGACGTTGAAGCAACGCAGACGTCTGATGTCGCTGTATCACCATCTGCATGCCAGCGTGCACGCCAAACATGCTGCCGTCAAGGTGCATCATAGCGTCGGCACGTCGGCGACTGCCCTGGCCTGGGTCACTCCCATGTTTGAACTCTACTGCGTCGCCAGTCCTTCGACGTCGAGGAATGCTCTGGCCCAGAGCGTCAACAAGGTGTTGCAGTGGGTGCAGAGAGAAGAGGAGCGAATCTTTATCATCGGAGGAGCGGTATTCTGACTTGCGGAGTACATATATACGGCTTCTGAACCGTTTGTTGAATCCGAATCCAATTCAATTTCTAATTCTTGTTTCACATGGTCGGTGTGGACACTAGATAGTAGTGCAGAGGCTTCAATTCAGGGTAGAGTTACTTTACATGACTGTACGGATACTTGAAGCGACGTTGATGTCTTGACTTTACAATACTGTACTTGAAGCGACCTGATGTCTTGACTTTACAATACTGTACTTGAAGCGACCTGATGTCTTGACTTTACAATACTGTACTTGAAGCGACCTGATGTCTTGACTCGAGGCAGGTTTTGAAGGAATAGAATAGACAATCAATTCATGCTACAATCAATTTGTTTTTGATATTGATTGGCATGTTTGATTCTTGATATGTTTGATTCTTGATATGTTTGATTCTTGATATGTTTGATTCTTGATATGTTCACTTCTTGACATTGGCATGTTCGATTCCACACTGACATGTCACGTACGTACGTACGTAGTCACATTCACGATTCTCCCACCGCCCGGTGCAGCACGTCCTGTATGATATTTGCGTCCCGTTCCACATCCACCTGCCAATTACTGACGGCGATGCGTGCAGCCGGCTTGCCGCGCCAGACCGTGCCGGTGAGATAGATGTGGCGCGTGGCATTGACGTTGGTGACGAAGTCGGCATTCTTGGCCTCGTCTCGGACTCGAAATAAGACGACGATGAAGGTTTTGGCAAGGATTTCGTTGTGGCCGTGGTTGTTGTGGTCGTGGTTGTTGTGGTCGTGGTTGTTGTGGTCGTGGTTGTTGTGGTCGTGGTTGTTGTGGTCGTGGTTGT